CTGGATTAGCAACTGGAAACTATTGCTCTAGGTCAGTGTTTTGACAAGTTTAAGATATGTGTCCTTCAAATCCAAGAAATCCCCAGCTGGCTAGCTGGTTAATTTTGAGAGTTGAAGGCTAAATATCTTAAAATTGCCCCACCTCTCAAAATGTGCCACCTTATTGATAAGGATGCCTTAGGCAATTGCTCAGGGGTAGCCTATATAGTCAGGCTACCCCATTGCCATCCCTTGTTTTTAGTCTTTTGTTTGTTGTTGTTGATATATGAGTTTTATTTTGCACGTATGGTAATTCTATTTAAAATTATTCCTAGTTGCCTGGTTAGCGGAGGGTATGATTCATAAATATACCAACTCAAGAATCTTTAAAAATCTATTTAGAGCTGGAGAAGACTCATGGCTGGAATTCTGGGAAACTATTTCATTGAGTGCAGAATAGGTTTGGGCAGTTCAGCTTTGAAAAATTGGCTTTTCGGGGTCATTGTTCCTTTGTTTGCTATTCCTGACTGGTTTGTTGGTTTTACTAGAAGCTACCTGAAATCTGTGAAAATGCACATTTATGCACAGAATTTAAAAAAATATGCTGATTCCCATGAAAGTGCTTTTAAGTATCAGAATCGAACTGTCGTGCTCTTTATTTGATTCCCAAAAGATGGGTTGAAGCAAGCAAGAACATAGATGCAACATCTGTCTTTAACTCTTTAAAGCAGCTGCATCTTTTCTGTAGCCCCATAATGTGATTTTTGGATTTGAACGGCATTATAGCTTACTATAATTAAAAGAAAACATGGTTTACTATGGTGTGGTTATGGCCGTATAACCAAGTAAGTGAATAATGATTTACTTAATTAACTAATTTCTCCTAGTTCACATAATATGCTTATGCATATCAGATGAGGAGTTGGCAGATGCATTTATATAGCATTCTCAGCTTGGTTAGTTTAGTTAACTTCTGAACACAGAAAATTAGTTAATTTAGTAATCAAGTAATAATGCTGCCATTGGATCATAAACCAACCCATACTGAGTTTGCAGAACAGTTTGAGTCACCTCAACTGTCATGAAGCACCCATCCATTATGCTCCTTCAAGGAATATCAGATGAGTGTCTATGTAGTTTTGTCCACTTGAATTTTGATTGTGCAAAACATATTTTTTCTTAATAAGTACCTGAATATAAGTCATCCCCTACTCCTGGAGATGGAAGATACCAACTGGACCACCTTTAGGGGAGCCAATCTGCATTGAGAGTGGAGCCAGTTCCCTAAATATGGATAGAACTGGGAGTTTGGGTTTCCCCTCCTCCTTTGATAAGTTTTAAAGTCAGATATGTTTATGTTAAGGCTTTTACTAAAGTTTTCATTTCGGAGGAAATGGTGCTGTTAATTTTCAGCAATTAAGTGCTGCTGGGTCTTAAAAAAACTTTCAACAATGTTAACACCATAAAATATTTTTTTAGAAACTAGTTGTATTTCAAACATGGCATTTAAAAAAACTATCCACAAATGTTTTATGTTTATATATCTAGCTCATGCTCTGATGAAGCACTAACACATTCCCTCAAGTCAAGCAATGCTTCTTTCCCTGTAATGACTATTAATTAAAAAGGAATGGTTTACACCCAGGGAGAATGAACTGTTATTCACCAGAATGGATCTCCTTGCTCCTGTCTGTTTGTCAGGATGCCAAAGCTTTGTGAATATTTCAGCGTAATAAATTGTTTGAAATAAAAAAAAACCCATGGCAATGGATTGAGGGGGGAGGAAACATTGGCTTGCTATGGCTAAAAGAGTTAACTACTTGTTCATGGAGCTTTGCTGGATCAGATTGAATCATATCAGATCATCTTAGTCCATGCCAAGTTCTCAAAGCTGAAGTAAAAGATGAGATCTTTCACTGTCATGTTGGAAGGGCATCCCATAATGAAATGACCTTCAAGTTTTTCTTTCCCTACAATTACTGAAAGTGAAGGAACTCTCTTCCTTTTTCCATTTGGTCAACTGAGTCAAATACTCCAGCAGACAAACCACGCTTCATTTTTATTGCTCTTTTGCTTAGAAAAAGGGAAGGGGTTTTCACAGAAGCTCACAGCAAAATCACTTTTGAAAGTATCATGTTTTCCCTAACCTGAAAATGGGTCAAAATGTCCCAAGAGGTCTACTGGTGAAAAGTAGTAGGTGATCATTGTTTTATGGAGAAGGAAGGAAGGAAGCCTTGATAGCATTATATTTACTACATTCAATTTATAGGTGATTGACAATTGGTAGAATGATTTGGTAGAGTGTGCTATTTGAATTCAGCCATTATTGATTGTAAGTCACCTAATGTTGTCTCCGGGCAAGATGTAAGTTGAATAAATAAATCATGGATTATAAACTTATATTAATGATGTAGTATACTATTTAAAATTGGCTAAATGTGGTTTATTCACAGATTTTTTTTCAATTGTTCAAGTGTGCCCAATTTCTTGGAAACCGTCTAGACAATTCTCTGTAATTTTCTTGGCAAGTTTTTTCCATTTTTGTCATTGTCTTTTTCCTAGCTTAGAGAAAGCCATCCAGCCAGGGTCATCCAGCTGTTTTTTGTGCCTAAAGCAGGACTAGAACTCATGTTTTCTAATCAAATGCATTCATCTACCCCATACTGATTTCACAGATACAGCCACAGGCATGTTTACAAACATGTCTTTGCATCGTGTTTAATCCCATCAGAGACCTATGTAAATTTTCAACCAATTTTAGGCAACTTTTGTTTAGACCTTAGAGAGATGCAGTTAATTACTAATTATTAATTTTTAAGTATGTTTCAGAAAACCAAACTGGAATCTAAATGCAAAGTTGCTCTGAAATAAGATGCAACAGTCAATTCTTCAGGTATTCAGTTTTCAGCATGGAATTTTCCAGTGCTGGGTATCAGCTGTATGCGAGCCGCAGAATTCTGATTGAATTGTAGAGTTGGAAGCCATTAGAAGGAACTTCTCATCCAACCCTCTGCCATTAAACCATCCATACCTGGTGGCTGTCTAATCTTTTCTGGAAAAAAAAACCTGGAGAGACAGATAGCCCTCAACCATTGTGCTGCTACTGTACAGATCTTACCATCCCAATTATTTCCCTCAAGTTTAAATGACCTTTGTTAGTTGCTTGTGATCTAGTTACCTGTGGTCTTTCTGGTCACATTAGATATCCAGATGGAATCTTTGGGGCATTGAAGTCTCCACAATTTTTAGACAATGTCTGCATTCAGAAGTCTTCTGTTATTTACAGTGTTTGTTGGATCAGCTATCTTGTAGGAGACCTTGTTGATAGCTCTGTTGGAGACATTGACAAATCAGGTTGTAATTATTGGCAATGAAGTTCTTTGCAACGTTTTTTTTTCTTTAAAAAAAAATGACAGTTCTGAAAATTGTGGACTATAGAGCCTACTTTAACTCCACACTGAATATAACTTCCTGGGCATTGTCATTCAGCCATATAAATGGCACAGCCAGACTTGCAGATGGCGTGTTGTTTCCCAAAGTAAATTCTGCCCACATTGCATTCAAGTGTGGTCTCAGGTCAATGGGTCCATGCATTGCGGACCTGCCTCTGCCCCTGTTTTGCCTCTGCCCCCCCTCCCCCCCAAAAAACCCCTGGGATTTGCGGCTGAGACTCTTAGAGAGCAGTGTTGTTTTTTTTTAATGGGGACGGCTTCCAATCAGCAGCTCCGGACCTTGCCATTGGAGGAGAAGCGGCTAATCCGGTCCGAGGGAAAGAAAATGGCAAAGCTCGTCCGCGCTCCCCTGTGCGCCTTCTCCACCCCTTTTCTGCCAGCCTCTGCGAACGCCGCGGCGGGCGCGCGGGGGAAACGGTGGCGGAGCAGAGCCAGCCAGTAGAGTTGCCACCGCCACCACCGCCGCCGCGCTGCCCTGCGAATCAAACTCCCATGCAAAGGAGGAGATCCTCTCGACCCACTCACCTCCTGGGCGCTCGCTCTCCCCGCGAAGGTGGTTGGAAACGTGGCTTCTTTCGGTGGGGAACTTTGGGGAAGGGCGCGCAGGGTTTATTTAGCTCTTGGTTTCAGAAGATGCTTGATATCAGAAGATGCTATAGCCACCTAAAGATGCCTCTTGGGGCTGGTTGGCTTGAATGTTCTAATCTAAGCCTTCCCTGGCCAGTTCTGTTTGGCATGGGGAGGTTGCGCTCTTCGAACACCGAGCTCTTAATTCGGAGCAAGAACGGTATGGAAGGGTTGGGGGAAAAAATGCGAGTCTGCGCGCGAACGCGCGCGCGGGAGAAAGATGCCAGGGGAGGGGGAAAAAACAAGGGCACCCGGGTTCTCTTGGCCACGGGCTTCGCCCCGGGTTGAGGTGCCTTTTAGGCGAACCGATGGGACGGGCTCTGTCCGCGGTCTGCAAAGCGGCGAGTCGAGGCGAAAGGCTTCGAAAGCGAATCGGGCGAGGACGCCGCCAGTTCCGCGGGCGAAACGGGTCCTTGCTTAAGGCTCCACAGACAGAGAGGATTAGTCCCGGGTAGAGCAGGGATGCAAATTTCTGAGAGAGGTGTTGGTGGGTGAGGATTAGGGGTTTTATTTTCCTCCCTTTTTTCCTCTACTACTCAAGGGAATCAGGCTGAGCACCAGGTTTTAGCGACGTAGCAAATTTCTACAGAAATTTACTCTTATATGTATACTCTGGTTAAGGCACACAAGAGAGTAGCTTGGGATTTGCTCTTCTCATCTTCATCTTCACCATGAACTAATGTGCCTTTTAAAAAAAAATCCCATTTCTCCTTTCTTTTCATCCCACCCTCCCTCCTCTTCTTTTGCAAAGATATGGAAGATCAAGATAAGGAGCTTACTGGTGGATTCTGACTCCTGGGCAAGTCCGCTTTCCTTACTCGGCGCAGTCCTGGTTTCCAAGTCCTTCAGACTCTCAGTTTGCCAAAAAGAAAAACAAATATCAGAAAAAGTGTGCAGGAGGAAAGGAAAATGAAACTTTCGGGAACAAGATTACAGGTAGGACATTCTTCTTGGTCTTTGATTCTCTCTTTGCCAAAATCTGGTAGTTATATTTCATTGGATGGTTGGAGATTTTTGTAAAGGTTTTTTTTTTCTCCTTTTTTGGGTGGGGGGGTCTTTCTGTTTCAAAATTCATGAGGACTAGAAGACTGATTTTACATATATCTCCTGTTTCAATTATAGTACTGAAACGGGAACATGACGTGTTGTCTCCCTTACTCCCTTTTCCTGGCAGTTTTGAGACTTCTTCAAATGATCCACAATGAAAACAGGCTGGGAGAAAGACGTTTTCTTGCAGCAGTTTAAAAACTTAAAGATTTATTGTACTATGTACTTTGTGGATTAGAGTTCACTTTGTCAGAATTAAAACAACAATAACAACAACAACAAAGACAGGAGTCATTTTAAAAAAAAATAGATGACGTACACATCCAAGGATGAATAGAAAGATTAGAGGGCCTAAAATGGTCATGAAAGAAAGCTTGGAGCACAAATTGCCAGAAAAGTACAAAACCCAACCTGGTGATATGAAATAATGTGTGAATAGTAGTATCTAAATCCTATATACACATACTTGGAGATAAATGCAGTTGAGCGAGATTTGCTTTCAAACAGGTCCCGTTTAAGACTGCAATTTTAAAAGGACTTCATTTTGACCCCCAGGTGAAGAATTTGGTGTTCTTTTGAATAGTACAATATAGTGGGAAGGATAGGCATTTAGTTTTAAAATTCCTATAGTCGATCATCAGAATTATAACATGCAAGATTTGTAAGATTCACAAAAAACAGCAGGCATGAACGTTGACCTCCTGGTAAAGGACTCCTTGAAAAAAAAAATGTATCTTTGATGGATATCACATCCACATAGAAACTTAGGATGTGCGGTAGGATTTAGAAGTAAATGTGGAGATTATCTAGGTGCCCAATGCAGGAATCCACATCACAAACAGGTTGCTGTCTAGCTTTTATTTAAACAATAAAATAAAAGGGGGGACTATCACCCCACATTTGACTGTTGAACAGAAGATAAATTGTTGGTAATCCTAAACTCTGCAAGATGACACTTCTTATATTAGAAGGCAGAGATCATATGTCCTCCTCATCTTTTTCAGAATAAATATTCCCAGTATCTCCATTTGTCCCCCATGTTTCTTTCTAGACTCTTTTCTTATCTTGGCTGGTCTTCTCTTGAGAAGATCGATGCATTCCAGTTTTCAGTGTCCTTCCTAAAATGTCATGTCCAGAACTGGATGCAATATTCCAGATGTGGTCTGATAAACAAGAACCCGGAACTGAATGCAGTCTTCCAAATTTGGTCTGATAAACAAGAACCCAGAATGGGACACAATATGCTAGATGTGATCTGATAAACAAGAATCCAGAACTACGTGCCATATTCTAGATATGGTCTTACAAACTATAATGGAGAAGAACTGTGACTACAACTTAGATCTCTCTAGATTCATCAGCTCTGAGTGATGGACTTTATAGGACAGCTGATGGGGCACATTCTGAAATAATTATTCACATATATTCACATTGGGTGAGCAGAATATACTGTAAACTTGTGTGTCTACAGTTATACACATTTTCTTTTAAAAAAATTGACAGACATGTTTTCTAAATGATAGGGTTGCTTTGTTTGGTTGTCCAGCTCATTTTACAGCCTTTCTGTTTACAATAAGTTTAAACAAATATTCTCTGTTGCGTTTCCCTTTAAAGAAAACATTGAACTGATGATATTTTTTTTTTAAAAAAAGGAGCAATGGAGATAAAGAGGAGATAACTTGGAGAGAAGGAACTCAGCAATGTGGGTGATTTGCAAAAGCCAGTGAGATATAGGCTGCTACATAAACATCTTCTTGCATGTATGGATAATACTTTGAGATGAGTATCGTTGATGGATTATGGAAATGTAGCTCATTGCGGTGTCCAACACTTGCACACACTTAAAAACTTAAGTGTGCCATCATTACACATGGATGGCATTTTAATTCCTATTAATCCATGTTGGAATGTTTGTAATATGTAATAATTAATTGTTGGCATCCAACTAGATTTGAGGAGAAACTAACAGGTGGTGCCATCCCACTTTCCTTACCTTTAAAAGTATTAAATTTGGTAAAGGAACAAAGAGCTCTTCATGGTAGCTTGGGAAAGTTCTTGAATTGCATCTGTTAACTGGTTGCAAAAAAAAACAGGAGCAGCAAAAGAAATTGCAATTAAGAGGTGGTAAATATAGTTGAGACTTAGTTGTAGTAGCAAATTGCTCTTAAACTGGGCTTAATTCTGGTGAGGGCATGATCCAGATTGTTTTCTTGCTATAATATAGGAGTGGTTTACTCTTCCTTTCTTCCAGGATGTTCTTTCCAATTTTCCAGCTTAGCTGAGAGTTCTTGGGGTCTCGCATACAAGTATAAAACAGACTGTTACTGCATAGTTGTTGCTCTTTCTTTCTTTCCTTCTTTCTTTCTTTCTTTCTTTCTTTCTTTCTTTCTTTCTT